CGTCCCGAACCCTCAAGGTTGGACGATTGGTTTCTCGGGGTGGCGCGCGCTGGTTCTCAGGGCCCCACCCCAATGCCTTTCTTCCCGTAGGTGCATAATGAGATCGCTGGGTCATGGACGGCAAAAAAAAAAAAAAAAAGGAAAATAAATTCATGTGACTATTTTGTGAACAGGACTGTGACATGCTGGCTGGTGAGAAGATGGCGTGGACGTCCTTAAGAGACGTCATCCCTCACCTGAAGCAGCTTCAGTCGGAGCAGCGTATCCTTCACAGCCAAATCAAGGGCTGTTACAGTGCCTGACACTCGGTGGGCGAGAACTAACTGTATCTCTAGGTTTAGCAGAGTGAAGTGATCTAGCCTGTAGCATTTGTGCTCTGGAAACAACTGCTAGTCTCTGCAAACTATGCCCGATTCTGTAGTCATATCAGTTTCTAAGACATTGCAATGAAAGGTGTGAGGGTAAATCGGTCAGTTCTGTCTAACTCGCTTGCTTTTACCCCTTTGGACACGCGGCTGATGTATAAAAGAAAACACAGGCTGTCTTCCCCATGAAATAATAAGCATAGATTTCATTTTGGATTTTGTGTGCCAGTGTCTCCATCAGGCTTTGTAACTGGCTTAACCAGCAAGACTTTCTTGGTCGTATAGCTACTGTAGTTTTCATAATACATTTCAGCTTCTTTTTAATTGTGTCCTTAACTGTTTAATCAAAAGGCTGGGAGGATCTGCTGAAAGAGAGCCAGGCTCTTTTGCACAGATATACAGATGTCGTCCCAGACAGGAACATCTATGTGCTCAGGCTGCTGGATCTGGCCATGGATGCTTCCATTAGTCTGGACGACTATAAGACGGCGCTGGAGTATGGCAATAGAGCTCTGGAACCTTACAAGTGAGTGCCTGCATCAAAAAGTTGTTTTTTGTTTCTTTACTGATAGATTTTCCTGGTAAATCTCCATGGAATACACCTCCATCACACCCTCAAATCTATAAAAGTCCCATTATAACTGTGACTCACATAGACTTGCTCACGTCTGAAAACCAAAAACAGACAAGTGCAGATTTAGTTCATAAGAACACTAGGCAGTATTGAAGAATAAATCCCCATTATAGTATTTATATTATTTAATAATAGCTTTTTCCTCATTGCCATCAGGGTAGTTTTTAAGCATTTTTAGAAAAAAAATTATTTATTTATTTTTCATATATACTAATAGTTGATTGTAATAGTGAAAAATGACCTAGTCACAAACTGTTTTTAAATTCTGAGGTATCCTTAACAAAATGGTAACCATCGTTATAGCCAAAGTGATGTGGTTACTACACTTATTTAGTGGGATTTACTATTTTTCAAAACTAAAAGTTTGATGTAGGTAAGACTTCAAATAAATTGATACTTCTGATTAGCAAGGATGCATTACATTTATCAAAAATGACAAAAAAAGACAATAAAACTTTTATGAAATGTTTCTATTCAAATATAAACGTTATTTATTTTTATTCATTTATTTACCAAATCAGCATATTATAATTATTTCAAAATGATCATATGACTGAAGAAGGAGCAATGGCTGCTGAAATTGCTTTGCAATTACAGAAAAATAAATAAAAATATATTTTAAATAGATAAGTACTATTTTAACATATATTTTAGTTTTTATTCTATTTTTGATCAAATAAATGCAGCCTTGATGAACATATAGCCTTAAACACACCGGGACGATTATCGCGCGCGCTTATCGCCGACGTTTTTCGACGCGTCTTTTGTGTTCATACCGGTCACACTCTCTCTAGGAGAGAACGAGGAGATGCTGGAGTTAACACGAATAAGTCTTTAATCATCCAAAGTAGAGACAGGAAACAAGGGAGACATCCAACAAGTATAACCGACAAACGCAAACTGAAAGGACTGGGGCTTTTGAACACAGGATAATTGGGAAGACACAGGTGCAAGGAATGACTAATTAAAGGGAACACGCACACATGGGGATGAAAACACAACGAAATGAGTCCAGGGGCGTGACAATACCCAAGCGATTTTCGCAGGCGATGAGCCGAGTGAACGTGCAAATTCACTCCCTGACATTAGATGGCGCTTAAAGGGGTCATATGATGTTGCTAAAAAGAACATTATTTTGTGTATTTGGTGTAATGAAATGTGTTTATGCGGTTTATGGTTCAAAAAACACATTATTTTCCACATACTGTACATTATTGTTTCTCCTCTATGCCCCGCCTTTCTGAAACGCGTCGATTTTTACAAAGCTCATCGTTCTGAAAAGCAAGGTGTGCTGTGATTGGCCAGCTATCCAGTGCGTTATGATTGGCCGAATACCTCAAGCGTGTGACAGAAATGTTACGCGCTTAATGAAAAACAGAAATACCCCGGTACACATCGAATCCTATTTGATCTGCAATTCCTCTCCATAACAACTCCCTCTTATCAAGATTTTTGTAGTCGCTGTCGTGTTTGTCATAAAGCCCTTTGTGTTCAGACACCAATGAGACCAGCAGCTCTACATTCATCTTGCCTCAAGATGCATCTTCTTGGTCTACTTACTTCCTCTTTGTCGTTAGGTATCAATGTGTGCGCGGCAAGACCGTTTTGTGCTTGAACGCCACCAAGTCGTGTTTTACTGTAACTTCAGCAGCTCCAGCCACATGAACAAAAGCGCCAATCTCATTGGTCGGCCAGTTTTTAACGCGGCGCGTCAAACCAAAAAAAACGAGCCCGAGGCGTTTTTAAAAAAATTACGCTTTTACGCCTCGCGTTTTGCGCGTCGGTGTGCACACTCACATTGGCGCCCTTTGTTTAGTCACGAGGCGTTAAACGTCGGCGATAATCGTGCGCGATATTCGTCCCAGTGTGAACAAGCCTTAAGACTCTCTTTCCAAAAAATAAAAAATAAATACATTTTACTAACTTTTTTAACAATATAGTATTGGACGCCTTACTGATCAAATGCATGATTTTTACTTGTTCGATAATGAAACGACCACATAGAAACATGTTAAACTTCATAGCTTCATGGTGGCAAGATTTGCACTGGCAAATACCACACATTATGTTCATAAAATGTAAAAATCCACTTTTTGCTAAAATCATTAAAAATTGAAATGTGATCTTCTTTAAATAGTGTAAGTAGCTGGCAGAATTTTTTTGTTATTTTGTTATACTAGTTTTGACACCACAGTTTCAGTGTTTTAACAAACTATGTTTAGGAGGAATCCATGGTTGTTTTTGTATAGGATGCTGACTGGTTCATTTATTAGATGTTGAGATATTGAGAAAATTGTATATTTAAATCTCAGGACATTTACCATGATTGTACATCCTGCTTACATACAGTATGTTGCCTATCCTAATACCAGGGGTCTTTTCTGTGACCTTTACCAAAAAAAAAAAAAAAGCTTGTTCAGCTGTGTTTAAATGGGACAAATGGATCAATTTAGGAAAGGGCAGACCGCAGGTGACATGCACCGCAGGACGGTATTCATCACCAACTACTACTGAATCGATGTGCACAACACCAATCTTAGCATTGTGCACCGTAGCCACTATGCGACTTCCCATGAGACGTGTAGAACAGAGCAGCGGACACTGGTCTTCTTTTGAAGCATGGCGTTTCTGAGTGCATTCGTGTAGTCAACTAAAACAGGAGATCTAGAGGAGGTTTGGGACTCTTCTACTGTGCTGTTTCATTTGTGGTTGTTGGAAAAAGCTGTTTGGAATGGTCTCTGTCCCATAGTGCTGAGAATAATACATACCTCCAGGCTAAACGCAAAGAGATTAGTGACTTCAAGCTCCTGCAGATGTCAGTTTGTAGCGGCACTAGACCTCCAGTGATTTCCACTAAATCCAAAAGTAGACAGTAAAGAAACAGTCGGATCAGAGCTTCAGAGGCATTGAACCTTAGAAAAAAAGTGAAATACCCAACATCTTTTCCCCTGTCAGAGGGGGGAAATATGAATATTGTTATTTTTCTACTGTGCTGGATCCCGTCTTCCCACGTCTGCTCATGCAAAGCATGAATAAGTTTTTATATTGCCTGTTGGATTCTTATTCTCCAGCTTTATACTGCATCTGATTAATGTTTATGGTGCCGAGGGATGGCCGCAATGCAAGGAAGAGGAAAAATGCTGTTAAAATGGCTCTTTATATGCTGAATTGACATTGAGATTGATGCTTGCCAGTGTTGCCGCAGTTTCTGCTGTTAGTACAACAAGATAAATGCACGTTATAAAAAAAGATAAATACTGCACGCAAGAATATTTCAACCATTTGGTCATTTTCATTGCATATCCTTCAAGCACTGATAATTGCTGCTTTCACAATGATTTCTTTACTTGTCTTCACCAAAGAGAATTTAAGGCTGCTACTCAGAGAGATTTATATTTTGAAATACTATACTAATAATATATGGAAATACCTGGGATGTATACAGTACCGTACAAAAAATAAATTATTATAATGTTACAAAATATTTATATTTCAAATAAATGCTGTTCTTTTGAACTTTCTATTAAAGAATCCTAAAAAAATAAAAAAATAATTGGTTTTCACAAAAATATTAAGCAGCACAACTGTTTTCAACATTGATTTGAGAATAACGAGAAATGTTTCTTGAGCAGCAAGTCAGCATATTGATTTCTGAAGACGGAAGCAATGATGCTGAAAATTCAGCTTTACATCACAGAAATAAATTACATTCTAAAATATATTAAAATAGAAAACAGTTATTTTAAATTATAATAATATTTCAGAATATTACTGTTTTTACTGTATTCTTTGGTCAAATACATGCAGCCTTGCTGAGCATAAGAGTCTTCTCAAAAACCTTTTAAAATCTTACCGATCCCAAACTTTTGAATTGCCATCAATGGAGAAAAAACTTTTTACTCTCAAAATGGTTTTTAATGCAACACATTACAGAAATAATGTCCATACACCTGACCAAAAGTGTCCAAATGTGCCTTGTTTTTTCCACTTTAATTCATTATCATTGCAAATGCCTTCTTTATTCGCTTTGAAAATGGGGTTTAAGAGTCATCAGGAGTCATAATATCCATCAAACATGTGGGCAGGAAATCAGTACAAATCACAACTTGACTATGAAGGCTGTGAAAACAGTTTTGTTTAAGTGACAGCTCCAGTCATCACATAACATCTTCATGACATTCCATTACAGCTTGATTCAGAAGGCTATTCGTCATGCGCCTTTGTTCTGTGTTTCAAAATTGTGAGGTTCATTATTGGCCTTGTCTGGGATCCCAAATTATTAATGGAATTGGCTGGTCCTGACTCCTGTGTTCGCTGTGTGAATGCTTTCTGAAGTGGTCCTGCCACCCTCCTCTTGTCATTCAGGCTACAAGAGGTTTGGAAAGAGATACTGGCTGAGCGACCACCTGACAAAGCAATAATAGATCCTTCACATCACAAGAGAGCTTGAATGCCCTTGCAATCACTTTTCAACACAAGAAGAAAATTAAATTTGGTTACCTTAAGAAACTTTTCAAAAATTGTTTTCTATCTGTGGTACGATTTATTTGCAAAGGAACTGGATCCTGTTCTACATGTTGCATATTAACTACAGTCGCTGCTGGCTATTGCGAGATAAATAGAAATTTATTTATGCACCAATTCTATTTGGGGATCAGTCAGGCAGTTTAGTGAGAGCCACTGAATTGTTTTAATTGCTCAAGTGCTTAACATATGCAAAGTGATTCATTAGTGCATGCAGTTTTTAAGCCAGTCTTTTCACAATAATTAATTTGATTAGAAAATTTGCACCGCGGCTTCTCAATTTTTATGTATGACGATGCTTTGCATTTCACTTTGAACTTTTATTCAGTCTTTAAAACCTAGACCCAGGGATATTCAATTATTTGACA